CAGGCTTGGGGGCAGAGGAATTCTCTCTGGCTGGGCTGGTCCAAATGCTCCCTTTGTGAGCACCAGCAGCAGCATTCTGCCCCGCGCTGTGTTCCCCTGTGCCAGGGTGGCCCTGAGTTTCCATGCAAAGTCCCTCTCCCCCCATCACTTCACTCTCCCTCCTCCAGGCCCCCAGATTCTCTCTCCACTTGGTGTGCTGGCGAGGCACTGCCAGGGGACTTGGGGGTTGGCAGACAGTCTTGCATTTCCCATGGGAAATGCAAGACTGTCTGCCCTCTTCAGTGCTTGTTTCCTTGATATAACCTCAAAACCAGGTAGTAGGATCACTCATCTGATTTTTGTTCTCCTGAAGGCGCTTGCTGGTGTGGGTAGTTGTTGAATTATGTGTTTGTGCAGACAGACAATTGCTGAAAGTTTGTATTTGGCCATCTTGCTCTGCCCTGTCAGGTTCAAGTTATTTCACTTCTGTGATCCAGTGATCTTCTGTGATTCTGTGATCTTCTATAGAATGCCGTTGGGAGGATTAAATGAGAATAGATTTTAAAGGTATGTCTGGTATATAATGACAGCTATGAAAACATTTGTTAAATCCAAGAAAAGAAGTTCCCTGGATTGTCGAATTCTCTCCTAAGTCAGTGAATTTGTACCATTAGTGTCTTAAATCCATTTTGGGAGCCCCTGCCCCTTGGTCAATCTTTACTCTTCCTTCTAGAAGGAGCTAACACGTCAGATCCTCTGTGAAGCCTTTCTACTGCGCTTCGTTCATCCCCCATTCAAATTTCATCGTCCTGTAATGTGTATTAGTTTCAGTGGCTGCTGTGACAAATTACCACAGACCGGGGGGCTTGAAACAATGGAGATTTTAATAAAAGTTGAATAAATCATTGTTCTGGAGGCCAGAAGTCTGAAACTGGCAGCAAGCAGTGGGCTGAAATCAAGGTGTTAGCAGGGCCACCCTCCCTCCAGGGGCCGTAGGGGAAAGAAAGCTCTGTCCCAGCTATTAGTGGGTACTGGCATTCCAAATCATTCCAATCTCTGCCTTGATGGTCTTCTGTCTGTGTCAAATCTCCTCCTGCCTCTCTCATAAGAACACTTGTGACTGTACTGAGGGCCCACCTGGATAATCCAAGTCACCCTCACTATTACAAGATCTTTGATTTAACACAAAGAAGGTAACATAGGTTTCAGGGATATGACTACGGTCTATCACAATGGAAGCGCATAATATGTACTCAATAAATGAAATACATGTAGAGGAATTGCAATATAGGGTATAGGTCCTTTGCTCATGTTCATTGGTATTCTTTCTTTGCTAAGGTTTTATTTCCCCAGGCCAGACCTATTTTTTTCATGTGCTAATCTGTGGTTGGAAGGATATTTCACTCATGCATAAGATCAACCTCTAGGTTAGAGAAATTAAGCAAAGAGGGGCCTTTGTCATTTTAACACTTCTTTCCCTGAGTTTCAGTGAAAAAAAGTAACCAAAAAACTCCTTTCAAACTCTATTGCTTCCAAGTTATGGGGCAGAGGGAGTGGAAAAGGTCAATGGACCCTGGCAGCTCAAAGACTTCTCTCATGGAATGTGAGAATGCAGAATGGCCGAGTGACAAGAATGAGCTTCATGAAGAGCACTGTCATCGGTCTGCCCCAGCTGGCTTGTTGCCATTTCTTGGCTGTTTATTTTAAACACAGTTTTCTTCGTAATTTAAGTTCCTACCTTCCTATTGCTTCACTAACCATTTCTCTATCTCAAGTCACTTAAAGCCAGCACAGGGATTTGTCTGAAATGAGGCTGTTTCTTTTCTAGTGTTCTCAAATCAGTCACCTCTACCCTGGAGAAAGTCTTTTGCAGACACTACTCATCTGGAAAGACAACTTAGTAGCTACGCTATTGTTTTTTTTTGTTTTTTTGTTTTTTTCTTAGCTATGGAAATCTTTCCCAGTGAAAAAGAACAAATAGTACTTGTAATTAAAAAAAAAACAACAATACACAATTAATCCTTGAAACAGCAAACTACTGTATTATAATTGCTTCTTTACTTCTATGTCAGTCTTTTCATCTTTGGACTTGGTTAGAGGCCCCAGAAATCAGAATGTTAAAAAAAAACTAGAGTCCAAAAATGTATCCCAGATTTGCCTAGGTAGATGGGTATTCAGAAACTTCTAACAGGTTGAGAAAACTCTTTCTTTTACATGTAACTATCCACCTGTAACAAAACACAAATTGTCAGGGTCAATTTATCTAACACAGTAGTCTGGAACCTGTCAGCGGCTTTCTATTGCTCAAGTAAACTCCTTAGCCTGGCCAAGAGGATCTACTACTTCCAAACATCATCCGGAAAAACACTCTCCTTCCAGCTCTGTCCCTGTCATTCCGTCTTTCAGTCTTTTATAGATATGTCTTTCAAACAATGGAAGTTTACCCATGCTGTTCCCCCTGCTTAGAATGCTTGTCCTACCTTCTCTTCTCTTGGTTAGGTTCTATTCATCCTTTAGATTGTAGGCAAGACATTCCTCTCTCAGAAAAGCCTTTTCAGACTAGGTCAAATTCCCTAAGCTCTGCCTTAGCACTGGAGAACACTGACGGTTTGCATTTGTTTGTGTGATGATCCGATCAAGGTCTGCCTCCTGTACCAGACTGTTACAAAGCTCTGTGAGGGCAGGGGACGAGGCAGTTTTTGTTATTATCACCAGTTCTTATCACTATCCCTGGAACACAACAAGCTTGTAATAAATAAAGGTTGAAGGAATACATCGAGGAATCTCAAGCTAGTTCTGCCCTTGCGTTGTTAGGCAAGGTATTTAACTTCATGGAGTCTTGCCTTTCTCTTTAGTAAGAAAATGCCTCTTTCTTTCCAAAAATTCTAAGATATTTATGGCTCCTGTCTTGAACCTACAAGATAGATCAGGCTAAAGCTAGAAAACCAGCACTATCAGCTCTCTGCCTGCCTTACATCCTCCTACGTAGAAAAACTACATGCCTAGGCAAGAAATTAGAATTAATCCTTCACATCTCCCTCTTTCTCCCTGATGCCACTGCCTTGATTCCAGCTTTCTTCACCTCTCCTTTAGGAAACTGCAAATTATTCCCTTAACCAGTAGTCGAGTTCTTTCTCTCCCTCCTCCAGTCTACCTGCAATGGTGCCAGCAGTACTCAGTCTAAAACACTGGACTGATCGTGGTACCCCTCTGCTTCAACACTTTCAGTGGCTCCCCCACGGCCTCTGGGACAAAACTCACCTCTGGAGAAGATGCCCTTCCACAGATCCTGCTGTGAACTTCTGTCCTCTCCTCTGGAACCCACACTCTACTCAGAACTGCTAAGGGGGCCCCAACTACACACCCTCTGCCCAGAAAACTCTTCCTCCCTCTTCTATTCGCAAAGTCCTGTCCACCCTTCAGGCTAAGTTTGAATGTTATTCAATGCGATGCCCGCCTTGACAGTTCCCCAGGCTAAACTTGTCACTTACTGCCTGCACTGCCCCAGAACATTTTGTACAGGCCACCATAAGTACACTTATTCCAGTGAACTTGTGCTGGTCTGCAGCAGAACATTGTGGTTAGCAGCATGGGCCTCAAATTCAGACTGAATTTAAAATCAAATTCTGCAAGGTATTGTATGACCTTGGAAATCATTCTTCTTGATCTTAGTTTCCTAACGTTGAGAATGGGGGACATGACACCTAACTCGTTAGGCTGTTGCAAGGATTAAACAAGCTAATGTGTTTAATGACTTAGCAGGATGCCTGCTCCATAATGCTCAATAACTAATGGTAACTTATCAGACTCGAATGTGTCAAATGCAAGGACCTCAGGATATATTTTATCCATCTTTCTATCCCAGGTCTAGCACAGTCAATGCTTCTTAAAATGCAAAAATGGAATGGCATCCACATCCTTCTTAAAGAAGGGCCAGAGGCTTATTCATTTTGCTACTAATAAAGAAATTTTATTGGAGTGCCAAATGTTACACTGATCTAACGACACAATCCAAAGCATATTCATGTTTTCCTATGCTAAACTAGTCCTGGAATTACAGGGGTAACACAGTTTGAGCTCATAGTTTAAAGTAGTGTTTTCTGCTAAATTATCACTTCACACTGAGTCTTTACTGCACGGACATCAATTTCAGTCTTTACATAATCCTATGTGAAACACGGATCACATTCTTTCTCATATGAAAAGCAATAGCATGCATGTATATAGGGCTTATGTTTGGGGCTTTTAAGTGCTTTAAATCCTGTACGTGAGTCACAAAATGAAATGATTTTTCTGAGATCAGAGTTGGTGGGTGGTCAAGCCTATTAACACCACTGCAAATTCTAGCGCAGTGTTCGGGCCACGGCATCACTCTGGGCGCCGGTAAGAGTCTAAGTTCCTTGAAGGCAAGGTTATCTCCCGGTTCCTCTCGTCCTTCACAGCATGCACACTCTGCAAGCTGGGCTGAGCGCTGCACTTCCTCTTCCGTCCATGTCACTAACTTCCACTAGAGGAGCAGAGGACAAACTACGTTCACGCTAAAGCCTTGCACGGTTCAGAGACCTTTAACGTTGGGAAAGTACACTGTAACCCTCAGCACACCCAACTTTTCCACCCCGGTCTCTCCTCTGCCAGTTTCTCTCCGGTTCCCAGATCATAATTCCCTCCAGGGTCTGTGACAAGGACCTAAGAACACAAGGTTGAGAGACGTCTTTGCCCCCCTTCCGTAGGCCAAGGGTGGGTCCCCCTTCGAGCCGGGCCGAGGGGCCCCCCGGCCCCCGGGCGACACGGCGCGGCCGGCGGCGGGGAGGACGGAGCGTCCGCGGGCTCCGTGGAGACGCCGCGGAGGCGCAGACGTCTCGCGCCCTCCTCGCGGGAGCCGCCGGGGCTGCAGCTCCTCGTGGCGGCCGAGCACACCGGAAACGGCCCCGAGCGCGTGCGGGGCGGCCGCCGAGGGTCCCGGCGCGGGGCGGGGCCGCGGGGTGTGTCCCCGTCCCCGGGGGCGCGCGAGGCCCGGGCGGGGCGCCGTCCCTTCCGGGGAGCGGGTGGCCGCCGCGTCCGCCGGGCGGCTTCCCACCCCGCCCCCCGCGGCTGGGGTGACGCGTCTCCAATAGCAGCTCGCCGGGAGCCGCAGCCCGGGGCTCCGCCGGCGCCGCGCGCCCCTCCGCGCGCCACCATGCGGGCCGAGGGCCACGGCGGCCTGGAGCGCTTCTGCAGCCCGGGCAAGGGCCGGGGGCTGCGGGCCCTGCAGCCCTTCCAGGTGGGGGACCTGCTCTTCTCCTGCCCGGCCTACGCCTGCGTGCTCACGGTGACCGAGCGGGGCAACCACTGCGAGGGCTGCTTCAGCAGGTAGGCGCGCGGGCGGCCGGGCGCCGCGGAGCCGCGGGCCGCGGGCTCGGGCCCCGCGCAGGAAGTGCGCGCGGGCGCGGGTCCTAGCGCCGGCGGCGCGGCCGGGCGGGCGGGCGGGGAGGGGACCCGCCCGTGCGCTGCTGCCCCGCGCCGGGCCGCGCCACGTGCGCTGGGAAAGAAGAGCCAAGTTCCCGCCGCACGCCCCGCACGGCACGGTTTCAGAGTTGCTTGCGCAGGATGTGCACAGCCAGGAGGGCAGGGTCCTGCCCTCAGAGGGGGGCTCCGAGCCAGGCGCGTTCCAAACCTGGGCGCGCGCTGTCCACTCGGCGCATTGGCAGCAGGGCCCGAAATTTGGGCAGCCACAGTCTGTCACCTTTAATGTGTGCTTCCTGCGGTGTGTTCTATCCCGCACAGCCCAGCCCTGCCTCAGATCGGCCGTTTCCTTCAAGGAAGTTAATGACCTCATATGTCATGTTAAAGTACTAGAAGCCCCTCTTTCTTCTCGCTCTCTGCACTGGGTGTTTGGAGAGTGGGGCACAGGCCACACACCTGCGATTCCGAGCCTATCCCTGATTTGGGAGTAGGAAAAATGGTCGCTGGGGAGATTAGGTAAAATGTATGGTTGGCAACAGGATTTAATTGTAACATATCATATGTACATATGTCTATGTTCACATATATGACGTATAATATGTACTCACACGCACCCAAACATAATTGTATCCTCAAGCCTTCTGACAGTTTCAGAGCTGAAAGGCACATTAGAAATCACCAAGCCAGTCCTATCTTCTTTCACTTTATGGATTAGAGAACTAAAGCCCAGAGAGGAAGAGTGGTTGTGTCTGTCCATTCACACCAATAGTTGAGGGAGGGAAGCCTGGCCTCATTCAGTTCTGTCCGTTTCCCACCTGGTCAGTTGCTCAGGAAATTTACTAAGGCGGGAGGCATGGCTTTGGCATTAGATTTATACCAGGCCTTCCCCTACTCACGGAGGAAGGGACTGGTGTCTGCTTTCTTTGAACCTCAGTTTCTTCATCTTTGAAATGGAAATTCCTGGGCTGGATTAGGCCTGTTTGAGGTCCTGCAGGTACCTTCTGACTACGGGTCTCAAGTCCAGCATACTTAATCTCCGAGACCTGCATGCCTCATTCTACAATAAGACATAGCAAAAGAAGGGACAAAGGCTAAATATTATAGTAATCTTGCCCAGACTCCCTGCCAGAACTGTCTTCCGCTTAGGGGGACCTGGAAAGGAACTAGACACGGAATCATGCCGTGGGCAGCTTAAGGGCTGTATGTGATGTGGCTCTTTGAATTGGCGAGCCAAGAGCTAAAGGGTCATGGCACCACTTTGCAACGTTTGAGTGAAGTGAGCATTGGGTTTTCCCAAAGTTAAAAAGGCTGCTGTGACTGGTCCCTTGATCTTCTGAGCCTCGCTGTGGCTCGGAGTCTGCAGCAGCGTGGGTGTCTGCAGTGGCAGGAGCAAAGCAGGTCAGGCAGCACAGAAGGAGCCTCTGTCGGGGATCCTGGTGATTCCTGGAAGCCATCATCGTGTGAGAGGAGATCGGGGAAGCCAGGCGCATAGTAGGCACTCACATGGTAGTTGCTAGTCCTCTCGCAGTGAATTAAAGATCAAATTCCTCTGGGTTTAGACGGGAGAAGAGGAACTGAGAGATGCTTCTCTTTAGCTAATGTGAGTCTCCTAATTGTTTCTACTATGTGCACCCCAACCTTAGGGCATTAATGGATGGTCATGTGCAACTTCACAAATCATTCAGCTTCAGTTATTCTGCCATAGGTGAAAAAATTTGCTGCCCCCTCCCTTTTTTTTTTTTTTTTTTTGGTATTTTTCTTATTGACATGCATTAATGTCACTAGCTGTTGCCTTAGGTCACTCATCAGGGCTTTTGCAATGGGGTGGTGCTACTGCGCGCACACACACCCCTTGTCTGTTTGGCTTAGGTGAACTTCTTTCAGCACTCATCATTCATTTCATCTCTCTCCCCAAAGAGTCATTTGAAATCAACTAAAACAATATTCAAGAAACAATAGCCGGGTGCGGTGGCTCGCGCCTGTAATCTTAGCACTCTGGGAGGCCGAGATGGGTGGATTGCTCAAGGTCGGGGGATCGAAACCAGCCTGAGCAAGAGCGAGACCCTGTCTCTACTAAAAATAGAAAGAAATTAAGTGGTCAACTAAAAATATATATAGAAAAAATGAGCTGGGTATGGTGGCGCATGCCTGTAGTCCCAGCTACTCGGGAGGCTGAGGCAGGAGGATTGCTTGAGCCCAGGAGTTTGAGGTTGCTGTGAGCTAGGCTGACGCCACGGCAGACGCCACGGCAGTCTAGCTTGTGCAACAGAGTGAGACTCTGTCTCAAAAAAAAATAGTCATGATACCCATGCAATTAGAGATATCTCTGTATTCCACTTTACGATTTCTGTTAAATCCGATTAATTTAAAATCAGTGTGCTTAGGTCATCATTCTGATAGATTCAGCACCACCAGTTCCTCTGTCAATGATTTGCATATGACCTAGGACAAATCATTCTGTCCAGCTGTGCCAGGGGACATATGTGTGCTTGCATATGCCTCCATGAGGCATCAAAGGAGTGGGAGTACAGTTCTGCAAATGTTGATGCATACAGATCAAAATCTGCCTCCTCCTGCATCACGCACCCAAAATAAAGCTACCCCCCCTTCTTTTCTTTTGCCAGAAGTTTAATGTAAACAACATTGCTTAAGATAAATAAGCAACCCGAGATTTTTCTATGTCATATTAATTGTATCAGGATTTCATTTATTTTGAAGGAAAAAAAAAAACTGATTTCTTCAGGAAGAAGTATATTCTATAAATTGAAAAATAATGGGAAATTTTCTTAAGTCTCCATAGAATGGGATTCTTATTGTTAGGGCAATTCAGGCACAGGTTTGTTTCTGGGAGTTTTAAATTTGCATCCCTATCTGGAGGCTTTGTTGGAATAAAAAAAAATAAAATAAAATAAATTTGCATCCCATTTCTCAGTGTGGTGGGTGACAGTTGGGCAGATGTGTACCTTGTCTTAGCTGCTAGAAGGCAGCTCCTAAAAATATAAATGTCTTCCAGCAGGGAACTGTCCCTATTAGACCTCTTAGATTACATTTTATACATACACACACACACACACACACGTAACACACAACACATGTATGTTTTGGCCATTTATCAACTATTGTGGCAGGGTGTTTTTAAAGATATGTGGGTATGTTTCAAACTGAGTATTGAACATATTTTAACGCTTAGTGTTATTTGCCTGGGAAAGGGAGAAACCTGTAACCCGGTGTTCCATCTGAATATTCATTCTGTGTGCACTTCCTCAGGTGGGCGGATGTCTCCCTTTTAATCTTTTATTCCCTTTGCTCCTGGGTCATTTAAGAGTGAGGATATTGTCTTTTCTTTGTTCTGAGTAGGGGGGAAAAGTAGGAAGGCCCACTTAGCCTCTTTGGAGCAGAGCTGTTAGAACCCAGTTTCAGGGAATTTGAATCATGCCAGGTTCACAGAGCGTGGTTGTTTTAAAAATTTAAATGTTTGCATGAGCCAAACACTGTGATGAAGATGTCCTGTTTTAGACATTATGAAGACTTTTTGCCTAATGTCCCCTAGATTTATTCTCTAGCAGTATTCGTCTTGTCTTTCCTCTTGTTTCACCAAACTGGCAGACTAATCTTTAATTGATCTTAGTCAGTGTCGAGGGCCATGGGATCTTGATGCCATTTTGCAAAAGTCCTCTGAATTAGCCCTCGTCCTGGCTGTACATGAGAAGGGGACATTGTCCCCAGGGCTGCTATGACTCCGGTTATTCTGAGAATGCTCTCTGAGAATTGTCTAGGGGGATAGATGGCTTCAGATGTTCTTAAATTGTCATGTTTTCTGAATAAAAAATTGGACACAGGCTCTAATAAGGGGTTCCGTCCTTCTTTTTGGGTGCATTTTTATAAAGCGGGTACTAAGGTTAAGATACATAGACAACAGATTTCCTCTAAAAAGTTACATGAAAGAATACAGAATTCAGCTTTCTTTCTATTAAGTAATAAGATATTGTGCTGTCACTTTTAACGTTTCAAAATTTCAAGTTTTCCACGTGCAGGGATGCATCGCTTAACGACAACGATATGTTCTGAGAAATGCGTCGCTAAGCAGTTTCATCTCCGTGCGAAGGTCATAGAATGTACTTATGCAAACCTAGGTGGTGTTGCTTCCTGCACACTTAGGCTATATGGTGTAGCCTGTTGCTCCCAGGCTGCAAACCTGTACAGCACGTTACTGTACTGAGTATTGTATGCAGTTGTTAACATCATGGTAAGTATTTGTGTATCTACACATAGACAAGGCAAAAATATGCTGTTATAATCTTATGCGACTACCTTCCTGTGCGCTGTCATTCACTGAAACATTGCCATGTAGCACATGTCTGTATTTAACTAGAAACAGCAAAGCAGAGACTCTGCCACATTGACTGGGTTTGAATAATGGCCTTATGCCCTCCTGATGATTTGTCTTTGGGCCAATTATCACTTAAATTCTCCCGAACTCCCAGGTTCTGTTATCTGTAAAATGTGCATACAAATACCCACCCCACCAAGCTAGGCCTGAGAATTAAACGCAGAGAGTTGAAGTCAAGTACTCAGCATGACTCTAGCCCATAGTAAGCTGTCAACATCAGCCTGGTCTCTGACTTGTAATTTGTTTGATGAACTCTGATGGCTAAATGTTTCTGGCTTAATTAAATTGCGCGATGGAATATTGTAAATTCAGGGACATTTTTATGGAGGTGGGGTTGGGGTGAGGAATACTGGGAAGGAGATACTGCAGATCTTTAGCCAGTGGAGTCACCATTTAGGTGGGTCGTTGACCAAGAGCTAAAGCAAGCGGTTCTCAACCTTGAGTCCCCCAAAGTAACAATGACTGTCTGGGATCAGTTGTTAGTATTTTTCAAAACCTAATGGAAATGATATAACCC